CATATATTTACGTAACTAAAGCAGGGTATGTGAACGATTCACCTAATATTCCATATGTATGTACGAATGTTCTGTATGTTTGTTTCGCGTAATTATTTCGTTGCTTTACGTCATAAAATTTACCCAATTCGATGCGTTAATATATTCACCCAGTTACTCATTGCCTTATACTATGCCCACTGTGATATTTTTAAGCATTTTGCTTTCGGTTAATGGCCAACAACCCTTGCCTTAGAGGCGTGGCATTGAATCGCCCATAGTATGTAGCTGCTCAGGTCTGGGCCAGCAGCCAGACAGCCACTTGCCGGCTCGTTGCAATAAGTCTAAACAATGACGATATTTTGATTTGTGCAATTAAATTTTCTACCATGTGTGTGTTTAAATATATATGTGTGTATATACATACATAATTGCATGTATATTTCCCGCTGCTAGACTTCAGCCGGTTCCATTCGCATGTTTGTACTTGTGTATAATAATTTACTTTCTATAAGGAAAATTAATCACACTCTGCAATTTGAGGCCTTTTTTTTTGTTATTTCATTGCAATTATTTATGATTCTAGCAACAGTTAAATAGATTTGTTCGAACAACTGTTGATATCAAGAACGAAATTGAGAGATAGAGACGCAGAGCGAATGGGCTACAAAGAGAGCAGCCAAAGAGAAAGAGAGAGAGAGAGAAAGAGAGTGGTATAGTGGAATATTTGCATTTGGCATATCTAAGAGCCGAATTTCGTAAAATTATATTTTTATACCCTTCACAAATGCAGTGCATGTTGCTTTTGTGAACTGTATGTAACAGGCTGAAGGTGGTGCGGTAGATCAGGAAACGGGGTGAGTCGAACGATCCATGTCATTTGTTCGCTTGTATGGACACAGGAATCTTATAAGCATTAACAATCCAGAGAACAAAATACAAATACACACATATGTATATAGCCGGAGAAGTATTACATAATTATATGTGTGTAGAAAATAAAAGTAGAATGATTGCTATAACAGCTCTGCGCTGGGTTCAGGGTAACTCCTATTCGGCCAGTCCTCATAACCTTACCTGTTTTTATAGACCACTCCCTATGATTAAAAATGGTTGTAATATCTAAATTTTACGTCTGTATATAATTTGTATATATAAATTATTTTAATGGCATTCGATTAAAGCAGTCTAACAATTTTTCATTAATTATTTATGTATGTACGTCTATTTTTTATTATATTTTATTTTTGTTATATTTTATTCATATTGGTTACCCGATTGCTATATGAAAACATCTAACAGCTGTCTGATTATAAGTGTTATTCAATATACGTAAATATATGTATATGCCTGATTTCCTTTGTATTCGGTCCGACTTATGTACAATACGATTATGTATACATACAAACAATCTTATAGATGTATATATCCATAAATGTATATGCTGATTTTTACAGTTTTGTCGTGACAACATTTTTATTAATTGATTGTTGTGGGTAAAACGTTGGAATTCTACTGAAACTTGAAGCACTGTCAACCCTTTATCCTCTGTATATATGTATGTATATAATACATACAATCCATTTATGACACAGAGAGAGAGAGAGAGAGAGAGCAATCACTTGCTGCAGACATGCACATAAAGACCAGTCTAGAGTCACGTAATTTAGTTATTAACTAAAGCTAAAGATCTTTACAGTCTGTTATAAAGATGTTTGTCTACATAATAGAAATGATCTTGAACTCCTCAAGAATTGAGTCTTAAACATTTATGTTCCGCAAAAATGAATAAAAATGGGTGCTGCTTATCGCGTTGGCTTAGATCTCACACACATTTGCCTTCTGTCTGACTGATATGTGCAGCAATTAATAAAAATTATTATTATTGTCATAAGAACGTCGCTCCAGATGCAATTTGATTTACGCACAAATGTCTCGTGTTATCAAATGCATACACAGGTCAAATAAATAAACAATTAAGTGAACGACCGATACGAGCGGATGCCAATGCATTAAATAAATACAAACATTATCCACTTCAGAAACTTCAGTCTTGATTATTATTTGTATTTATCTAGTTGTGTCTATGTAATTATATATATTTGCCATACAACCGTAACACAGAACAGCTTTACACTTACACAAATGAATCGGTAATATGACCTATAAGTAAAAAACATACATTTGTACACTCCACAATGTGAGTAAACCTCGGAATTCTATCTTTTACCTTATTATAGTAATTGTACATATAGTACTAACGGCAACTGTGTTATTTTGTATCTTCCCTATTGATTTATTATAAGGTATATATAATTAAGTTTTTATTCTATGTGTATATAGTATGCGTTTCATAAGTCAACTAAATATTTTAGTTCTCTAATTATACTCTGTTAGATCATTTGCCTTCAATAAAAAATAGTGCAACATCTGATTTATATATGGATGTGGCCTACGCATAAATTTAATCACGATGATTATTCAANTGTCGTGACAACATTTTTATTAATTGATTGTTGTGGGTAAAACGTTGGAATTCTACTGAAACTTGAAGCACTGTCAACCCTTTATCCTCTGTATATATGTATGTATATAATACATACAATCCATTTATGACACAGAGAGAGAGAGAGAGAGAGAGCAATCACTTGCTGCAGACATGCACATAAAGACCAGTCTAGAGTCACGTAATTTAGTTATTAACTAAAGCTAAAGATCTTTACAGTCTGTTATAAAGATGTTTGTCTACATAATAGAAATGATCTTGAACTCCTCAAGAATTGAGTCTTAAACATTTATGTTCCGCAAAAATGAATAAAAATGGGTGCTGCTTATCGCGTTGGCTTAGATCTCACACACATTTGCCTTCTGTCTGACTGATATGTGCAGCAATTAATAAAAATTATTATTATTGTCATAAGAACGTCGCTCCAGATGCAATTTGATTTACGCACAAATGTCTCGTGTTATCAAATGCATACACAGGTCAAATAAATAAACAATTAAGTGAACGACCGATACGAGCGGATGCCAATGCATTAAATAAATACAAACATTATCCACTTCAGAAACTTCAGTCTTGATTATTATTTGTATTTATCTAGTTGTGTCTATGTAATTATATATATTTGCCATACAACCGTAACACAGAACAGCTTTACACTTACACAAATGAATCGGTAATATGACCTATAAGTAAAAAACATACATTTGTACACTCCACAATGTGAGTAAACCTCGGAATTCTATCTTTTACCTTATTATAGTAATTGTACATATAGTACTAACGGCAACTGTGTTATTTTGTATCTTCCCTATTGATTTATTATAAGGTATATATAATTAAGTTTTTATTCTATGTGTATATAGTATGCGTTTCATAAGTCAACTAAATATTTTAGTTCTCTAATTATACTCTGTTAGATCATTTGCCTTCAATAAAAAATAGTGCAACATCTGATTTATATATGGATGTGGCCTACGCATAAATTTAATCACGATGATTATTCAAAATGCTCTAGTTCCTCATATATTATTTTTGCCCAGTGAGAGTATAGTCTGATACTCTTATTAGCCACTAATGTGCAGAGCCGCCAACAGATATGTGTACATATACAGAGAGCTAGAGCTATTTCGGTGCAAGGTCGTCCGCTGTGTCTGTGACTATGGATGTGATAGTGCGAAGAGATAAGGAGTCATTGCGTATAGTCACGATTTCCCTATAGTTTACAGCCGGGCTTGATTGAATGTATGTGACCAACTGAGTGTATGTCGCGCCCAGAGATTGTGTTGCAAGCTTATCAACAGTAAAATTTATTAGACTGTTATATTTTGCTTGACAAAAGGTAACACACAGCGCTTCCATGACAGAATGGACAGTAGCGCCAAACCGGAACGCAAGAATCCACGCCAAGGCGCAAATTTTTTCTCCCAACTRATATTTGCCTGGGCGGTGCCTTTGCTGTATCGCGGATCACGAAATGGTCTGACTACAGATGATCTGACGCAATGCCTAAAAGAGGATCATTCGGAGCAGCTGGGTGATCGGCTGGAGGAGTAAGTAAATAGACTTCCGAGCTCAAACCCAAACTTACGCCAACTATTTGTGACAGTGAGTGGTACAAGGAACTGGGGCGTGCCCATCGTAAATCTAGGAAGCCTCGCCTGCGCAATGCCTTATTTCGTTGTTTCCTGGGACCCACGATAGTCAACGGACTCATATGCCTTCTCTATATCATCATGAAGTAAGAGAGTGCTTTAGCATTATAGAACGTAATAAAAACAATGATAAAAATAAAATATGTTTGTAGAACGCTGATACCAGCCTTACTAGCACAGCTGCTGCTGCAGTTTCAGCATCATGCTAATCCCGTGTCGACAATGAGGGCAGCCGAAGAACAAAATATTCGCAGTATGCTTAATCGCACAGTGCGGTCTGTGGCAACACCGGGGCTAACCTCAGATGATGGAACGAGTATGTAGAGTCCACAAATATATAATTTCTATTGCCTAAATTGATTTCATCTATGTTTACAGTCCATTCGCCAAATGCATTGGACAGCGATGATCCAGTCAAGCAGCTCGTGAAGAGTGACTTCGAAGATTCCGGATACAATGCGAGCCAAATGAATGCTTTTGAGGAGGGTTTTTATTATATCTGGAACGATGTTTACAGTCTTGGCGCGGGTTTGGTCATTTCAACCTTGATTTGTTGTTTTATGGTGCATCATGTTGACCTGCGCCAACGTCTGATGGGCGCTCGAATGCGCATAGCCTGTTGCTCTTTGATCTACCGAAAGACTTTGCGGCTGTCTATGAAGACGGCGGGGCAGACACCAGCTGGTTATCTRATCAATCTACTCTCAAATGATGTCAACCGCCTGGATTACGGCTTCATATTTATGCATTGGATCTGGATTATGCCACTCCAGGCGGTGCTTACCTGCTATTTAATATGGCTGCGTATTGGTATCCCGGCCTTAGTGGGCGTCATTGGATTACTGCTGAAGACGGTGCCCATACAGTCGGCACTGAGTAAGCTAACCTCGGTGCTTCGCATGCGTATAGCTGAGCGTACGGATGCGCGCGTTGGAATCATGAACGAACTAGTGCAGGGCATTCAGGTCATCAAGATGTACGCTTGGGAAAAGCCTTTTGAGGCGGTGGTCGCCGAGGCCAGACGCCGCGAGATAAAACAGATTCGTTACGCTTCGTACCTGCGTGGATTTTACCTCAGCACTATGGTCTTCACAGAGCGTTCCACTTTGTATATCACCCTGGTCGCAGCTGCTCTCATGGGACATACAATTACAGCTGATTTCGTATTTTCGGCCGCAAGCTATTATAACATCCTACAGTTGGTGGCGGCCATTTGGTATCCTTTGGCTGTAACCTTTGGAGCCGAAGCATTGGTCTCCTTGCGTCGCATTCAGGACTTTCTTCAGTTGGAGGGTCGTGATGAGATTGTCAACGGATTGACGCACAAACGACAGCAGGACATCGGCGAGACACGTGCAATTGTCCTAAAGGACGTCAGTGCCAACTGGGACAAGGAGCGACCCCAACGCACGCTTCAGGGCTTTAATCTGCAGATAGAAAAGGGTCAGCTCTGTGCGGTCATTGGTCCGGTTGGAGCTGGAAAGAGTTCGCTGCTACAGCTGCTACTTGGCGAGCTGCCCATAGTCGATGGCGGTGTTATTATACAAGGTGAGCTCTCATATGCCTCACAGGAGCCGTGGCTTTTTACTGGCACCGTCAGGAATAATATTCTATGTGGCGAGCAATACGAGCGCAAGCGATATCAGGATGTAACGAGATGTTGCGCCCTAACCACAGACTTTCAGCAACTCAGCAATGGCGACAAGACCATCGTTGGAGAGCGCGGAGCTTCACTATCTGGAGGTCAACGGGCTCGTATTAGCTTGGCGCGAGCCGTCTACAAACCAGCATCAATTTATCTCCTGGATGATCCCTTGAGCGCGGTTGATGCCCACGTTGGACGACATCTGTTCGACGAGGTGATCGGACCACGTGGCAGACTGGCTCAGCAGAAGGCGACTCGGGTACTCGTCACCCATCAGGTGCACTTTCTATCAGAAGCCGATTGGATTATCATTGTGGATCAGGGTCGCATTTTGAGACAGGGAACTTATACGGAGCTGATCAATAGTGACCTAGACTTTGCCAAGTTACTAGAGCGTCCAAAAGAAGCGGATGATGCTGGTAATAACTTGGACTCATCGTCAAGTTTAAATGGGCAGGAAAATATAGAGGAAGACGATGATATACCCTATATCGATGGTGTTCGGGATGGCTACCATCCATTACGGAAACAAAGCAGCTCCACACATGGCAGCAAATCGGTGAGTGGGCATCAGTAAAATACTAATTTATTTAATAACAATTATTAATAATAATCACAGCTGAACAGCAGTGACCAAACGGAAGCCGATCTAGATGATGATGAACTGGCTGAGACTCAGGGCTCGGGCAGCATCTCCCCGCGTGTGTGGTATGAATACTTCCATGCGGGCAGCACGTGCTTGGGCTTTAGTTTCATGGTGTGCGTCATGCTGATGTCGCAGGTGGTGTGCAGCTGCTCCGATTTCTTCGCCAATATCTGGACGCAGGAGGAGCATCGGCGATCCCAAGGCGAAGCCACCAGCGTTAGCACTTTTGAATGCATTTATATTTATGGTGCTCTCATCATTGGCGTCGTGATTATGACAACGTTTCGCGGATTTTTGTTCTTCAAGACCTGCATGCATGCGTCCAAGGTGCTACACGATCGCATGTTCACCTCGATACTGCACGCGACCATGAGATTCTTCGACACTAATCCCTCTGGTCGTATACTGAATCGGTTCTCCAAAGATATGGGTGCTATTGATGAGCTTTTGCCGCGTGCCATGATGGATTGTATACAGATTGCTCTGGTCATGTTTGGCATATTAATTGTGATCGCTGTGGTGAATCCTGTACTATTGGCTGCAATGATAGTTGTGGCTATTATAGATATGCTCATATTAAAGCTCTACYTGCGCCCCTCCCAAGATCTAAAGCGCCTAGAAGGCATTTGCCGCAGTCCAGTGTTCTCCCACCTGAGCTCGACTTTGACGGGTCTTTCGATCATACGCTCACGTCAGCTACAGGATGTTGTCGCCAAGGAATTCGATCTATTGCAAGATGTGCACAGCAGCGTCTGGCAACTGACCATGGCGGTCAATACGGCATTGGGGCTGTGGTTGGACTGCGTCAGTTGCGCGTTCCTCACGGCGGTCACTTTCAGCTTTATAATCGCCAACGAATGTGAGTTTAGTAACTTTAARGAATTCGCAAYCGATTTGACAACTAATCTTAATAACCATTTACAGCTACTTATAGCGGCAATGTGGGCTTGGCCATATCACAGGCTATGATCCTAACTGGCATGGTGCAGTATGGTGTCCGTCAGGTGGCGGAGTCACTGCAACAGATGACCAGTGTGGAGCGTGTGCTGCAGTACACGGAGCTGGAACAGGAGGAGACGACAAAGGGTGTGGAGCCCTCTCAGCAATGGCCCACATTGGGGCAGGTGGAATTCCGTGACATGAGTTGCCGCTACGATCCCAATGGCTCGGCTGTGCTCAAGCATCTCAACCTAATCATTGAACCAGGCTGGAAGGTGGGAATTGTGGGTCGCACGGGAGCAGGAAAGTCCTCGCTTATTGGCGCACTCTTCCGTCTGGCATACATTGAGGGCGGCATCTACATAGATGACATCGAGACGGGTAGCATCTCGCTGGAGACACTGCGTGCCCGCATTTCCATTATACCGCAAGATCCTGTGCTCTTCTCGGCCACCATCCGTTATAACTTGGATCCCTTTGAGCGTTACAGTGATGCAGAGCTGTGGCGCGCTCTCGAAGATGTCGAACTGCGAGCTGCGATTCCCGGTCTCGACTTTCTGGTCACCGAACGTGGCAGCAATTTCAGTGTGGGTCAACGACAGCTCCTTTGTTTAGCTCGCGCGATTCTRCGCAACAACAAGGTGCTAGTGCTGGACGAAGCAACTGCCAATGTAGATCCACAGTGAGTTGATAATTAAGCTACTCTTGAATGACTTATCAAACAGGAATATTTATCTCTACAGAACGGATTCACTGATCCAGCGGACAATTCGTGTCAAGTTCCAGCACTGTACAGTATTGACTGTAGCACACAGACTGCATACAGTCATGGACTCGGATCGTATTATTGTGATGGATGCTGGCAGCGCAGTGGAATTCGATGTACCACACCTGCTGTTGAAGAAGCCGCACGGAATACTCAGACAAATGGTCGAGGCCACCGGAGGAGAGGCCGACACGCTTAAGAGTGTGGCCTACAACTCGTTCAAACGTATGCAGCAGGA